TGTTTCATTAATATTTGTTTGGAAAGCTTTGTACATAGTTGTACATCAGTAAAATTCGATTTTAAAATTCGACGACAGAATCATTTACATTATATATAACTTTTACAGAACATTATTGTGTCATCGATCTTTATGATAAATATAATATTCGGAAGAAAATGACTAAATTATTATGCAAACTAGTCATTCTTCCCATTTGAGTTTTTCAGTTGTTTAGAACAGTACTTCCTGGAGTTTTTTTCCCGTTTACTGTGAAATGATGGTGGTCGATTTATCTGCAAAAGGTCGTTTGGTATTTTGAATAGTACGTCTTGTTATAAAGTAACAATGTTGTGTCATGGAGCCTGGTCAAACATTTAACATGTGAAACATCTGGACACTCATTTGCCGATAAACTTACATAACAAATTGGGGTAAAATCAGAAGCTATTAAAGAACCTGCGAAGATTTACCCACTATATTATTAAAAATTGAAATAAAAGACATAGTTATGCAGCAGATAAATCCTTTTTTTGTTATGTCCACTCTGTTCATGTGAACAAATAAAGAGGAATATGCCTGGCATGCCCTGACTCTTTTAAGCCATAAAATGGCGTACAGCTGTAAAAAACAGTTGCACATTAATTGAAGACATCTACGCATAAAGCTAACTCCAAAATCTTGTCTGCGCACATACAATGTACGTCTGAATAATGACTGAATATCAAAGAGCGAATCAAAATGTGAATGTTCCGAATGTCCACGACCTGTACATTATGAGAGTTAATTCTCTGTCCACGACGATGTCAACTTTCGTTGAATCTACGAACAATGTCGAATGTTTTCCTAATTTAATAAGATAAATCATCACTTCACAGATTTATACCTAGTTATAACAACGAAAATATGCCCTCTAGCGTCGAAGCCCGTCTGTGAAGTCAAAATAACGTAGATGGCCCAGGGTATAATCAATGTCGTCTTATAGTACACCTCTGTTTGGTTTTGTGTCGTCGTTGGTTATCTAGACGTAAATCTTTAAAATTACTGTTTGTTTGTTTGTTTATTGTTGACGACCATAGATATAATATCGACATTGTGAACGCCATCTCTTTACGTCACGGTGTCCCTTCCTCGTTACAGTACGCCTCTTTTAGGTACAGCGTAATGTCGCCGCCGCTATCTATACTTCGCTGTATTATGTCAACATTTATACCTGAAAAAGCAATACATCATTAGTTTTCGCTAATTCTACGGAATTAAATTCTGAACAAATTATTACTTACTTGTTCTCTGTCGGTTAGACCAATCCAGATGTTATTATTACCACAAGTTTCAGTTGCCCCTTGCAAGTTGTACACAAAGTCATTTTCTGCGTCGCTGTGAATTGATACTAAGTTAGCCCCGCTGCTTTGGCATAAATCGTTTGCTTGTAACCATTCCCTGGTTGCACTGTAATAACGATAGCAGTATCCTTCAGCATAATGCCAATACTTGGGACAGGTTTCTGTACAGAAAATTGGGTTAAAACCGACTTTTTACTGAGTACTTACTCATTTATAATTCAAAGAGCACGAAATAAGTCATGCCCTCTAGAGACGAGTTATTTCTATGACGTCACAATGACTGTAGTGTAGTTGTTTGTAGTTGTTCGTGAATCTCTCAAAAACGTTGTTTTTATTAAATATAGAAATCAATAAGAACACTGCGATCGCTCTTCATTTTCTCATTGACATATCATCGGAGATCTTTGCCGCTGGAGGGCAGTTCTCATAAGAAAGGTGTATATTATCACAAAAATATACATATGTCGGTTTGTCGATAAAAGTACGGGTAACCGTTTTCATGTGACCTCTCATTTTTATGAGATGACTTTTGCAGCGTATGCAAAGTGACATATGGACATGGAATGATTAAACGTGGCAACCATAAAATTAGGAATGTAACTTAAATAAATTTTGTAATAAACTGCGTTCTCTTTAGCCAGTTAATATTTTTTTGTAAATATAAACCCCACTTCTATAATTGTATTCAAATATTGTAAATTGTCAAGTCTTTTGAGAATATAAGTTAACTGACTTACGTGCCGAAACCTGGACTACAAGGAAAAGTGACAGCGCAATCGTTTGGCGAAACATCTTGGAGTATACTATTAGTAAGACTTTTCTCGCTTATTGCTTGGTGGTTAAATGATGAATCATCCATCAGACGTATCAATCACTGCCAAGGTAAAGTACATACAGATTACGATACGACACTTTGACAGCTGGTTTTTCTCCCATAACAATCGGCGTTAGATGGCATGCTTTCCATTATCAGTAATGCCATGTTAGGTTACTTGGAGTACACTTGGTCATGACCCATTGTTCTGGCCGTACGTCACGAGAAACATTCACTCGAAAGTGATGGTTATCGGATATAACGTCACACGAGCGTGAACTATGACCAAAAGTGAGGCGTCAAGTTATATCCGATAACCAACACTTTCGAGTGGGTGTTTCTTAATTATACCACGAAAAAACACACGATACAACTGAAAGATTCAGGGATCGACTGCAATGCCAGTACGCAGCTTTGTCGTTTGCTCATACCACTTGATATTGAAATGAACCTTCTCAGTCCAGATTTTTTTTCCCAAGAACCTCCACCAGAAAATGCAATTGCACTTTCGTTAAAAGCCGTGGTTGGTATTGTGGGTCAGAACGCCTTTTTGAGGACAAACTCTATCTCCTCGTCAAATTCCTGAAGTGCACTAAAGCTGATTTGCAATTGCAATACAATTAAGTAACCAAGACAAAGCCAGTTTATGTTTTTATCTATCTGTATCTGTATCTGTATTTTATCTGGAATTACATTTCCCATAACTATAGAAATTAGATTCTGCATATGATTACAAGTGTGGCCGGTTTACAATTTGCATAAAGACAAACGTTTTACGGAAATAAAATAACGGACAAAACAATAGGTGTCATGACCATGAGTGGTATAATTTTAGTAAATCCACACTTGTTTCCAAACAGATTGTATACTAGATAACAGGACATTGGATTAGCTGCATAAGTGTACTTAAAACCCACCTTGTGCGTGGCGTTTGGGCCAATCATAATGCTCTACCTCACGAGTTAACGCGTGTTTAAACGCCACAGGTGTGGTTGGCATCGCACCAGGCCGAATAATTTGCCGTACTACTATCAATAGTGTAGTGTATCCAAGGTACTGAGTAGACTTTAATTACAAATACAGTGACAACTGCTTATAGATGGACATACAATGATAAATTATTTTCCAACTGTTTTGAATCAGGTTAGCAAAACAAGGACGAGTAAATGCCAGAACCTTGATTTACACACAATTTGCTTAAATAGACATGAAGTTATTACTGGTGTAAGCATGTGCATTTCGTGTATTCTGTTACGCGTCCTTCACACCCGTTGTACTATTGCAGGATCCATGTCGATGTTTGAGTGAGTAGACAACGATTGCTGGTAAATAACGCCCACTTTAACAACGCCGTGGCTATTACCAGGTTCTACAGCTTTATGAACTGAGGGCTTAATACCCAGTTCCCAGCCACACAATCAGCACAACTACCTGTTTCTTAGGAATATAGCGCCGCCAAGTGGCCAACAATTAATTTTAGACCACAAATGATATTGAATGAGGGCGCAAATTTCAGTAATCTGTATTTTCAGCCACAAGGGTCAAAGGTAATTATAGATTAAAGATCAAACCAAGTTTTAGCTGGGTTTAGTTCAGTATCAAAAGACTTTTGATTGGCTACAGAAACACAGAAGGAAGCAGCCCGGACCAATCAAGAGCCATATTGGTTGAAAACAAACCACATCGGAAACAAATGAAGATGACAGCAATCAAGAAGTTCCTAAAAATGGGCATCATTTTTAAAATAGTTGTTTTATATGTATTTCAGTTCAAATTTCTCCCATACAACTTGTTTGACATTCGGTGCAGTTGATGTTGAAGATTAAGTTCAGCTGCTAAGTGACTGGACAGATTAATGCACAGCGCCACCAACCTTATGTATGTGTTTATTACCGTCTACGTTTTATAATACCACCACACCACCAGATTTTATCGCTCATTGATATTTCGTATTTTTTTACAGTTCAGCTTAATTTTCATCCCAATAACTTAAGGCACATCGTAAAATGCGCCTAAAAAACATGAAACTTCATGATATGATTTTCTTGAGCCATATATAGTTTTCAATTATGGAGAACTACTGATACAAAACAGATGTGTCAGAACTCAGTGTGTCTTTGAATGGAATGATAAAAGAATGACTGGCCAATAACTAAAACTTCGCTTTTCAGTAGTTGACAAAATGATGATGTACACACCTGCATTGACATATCCACGAGGAAAACGCGAATATGTGTTGGGCAAGTGAAACTCGTAATGGAGCTGTCCTGCCATAAGTCCAAGATGAAAAGTAATGAGTGGTAGTGTATGACAGCAGGTAGATATTATGGACAGTAACTGTATATAAGAGAAAAACTGATAACCAGAACTGATCGTCCAGCTCTAAAGTGGATGTTAGTCATATGTGTCGCGTGGTAAACAAACCAGGAACACTAACACGGGAATGCTAGAAAGAGACACTGCAGGCAATATTGTTGTCAGTGGAAACGGGACGCTAGGATTTCTAGGATTCCTAATGGCATCAAGAATACTGCAAGACTTATGCAACTTATTCAAAAACACTGCTAGTGGCCAAACCAGCGTAGTGAGGTACCGTAAACCCGAAATATGTTTTCTGTTGACTATGGACAGCAGAAATTGGTGAAATGTACTGGATCCCTTCGCGAGATTTCTGCATATTTGTTTTGGAGATTCTTTCAAGTGAATATGGCAGATTTCCAATTTAAAAATATTAAGGATGGATATAACACGTTAACTAGAAGCTTGCTACAAAATACTATGTAATAATCACGTTTTGGGCCTACATCTAAACATCAAAACCCGTATTATACGGTATATTTTACCACTGCTTGCATAATTAAACACGCTCTCAACCAATCAGAACAACAGATACAGGCAATAGACATCCTCGTACATTATAATGCTTACGGGCTGTGATCAAATTAAATGCGTTTATTTCAAAACTTAGATATTTTTTGGGGTTTTTGTGGAGGAAAATACAGTTTTTTTATAGACGAGTTTGTTGAACCCGCTACATTTTTTGTAATGTCATTAAACTGTCTTAATTCAAGACAAATTAAATGCAAAACATCAAAATAACAAATTGGTTTGTCTTCGATATTAGTCATGAAAATTATTGGTTCGCATGTGGAAATATTTCGTTATGAAATATTCTTTATATATTTCTGTACTCATTTGTTAAAATCAATTGTTTTCATTTTTTTAAAACGAAGAAATTAAAATTCGGAAAAAAATGTTTTGTCTTGATTACGTTAGTACGATGAGGCGTGGTTATCTCGGTATCGTATAGATAAAGCGAATCCGAAAGTCCGAAAATAAATTCACTATCACATACGTACAAAACACACAGCATTGAGAAAATAATTGGTAATATATCAGTTTATTTGAACACAAATCATGTGTATCACTATGGAATCCGTTGATTGAACCCCAATGTGTGTACGTTCACGCGGTGTGGTGGTTTCTTACTGATATCTCTAGAACTAATTGTCACAGGTCTCACTGGCGGTGGGGGCCGGAACAGTGAATTGCGTATTTTGAGTGCAGTGTTTACGCAATTTACGGAAAAACACACACACAAGAGTTCGAGTAATTGTGGTTGCTGATAATAATCTCGGATCTTTATTTTCATTTAGCCTAAGTAACAACAGATCATAGAGAGGTGAAAAAGGTCACACAAGCAAGACAGTGCAATTGACCTGTGAGGGCGCTAATCCGAAATAGTTAGGCAAATGCCCTGTTAATGAATACACAAGGTTTCTGGATATAAACAAACTCAATTAGTGTTAACAAAGGGGGGATATATTTGAGGTTCAAAGAACCTGGGTCACATCCTCCCCTGTTTTGAAGAAAAAACGACATCCTTGTCGTTCCAACAACCCAATGCAATATCTGATAACTAAAAAATAAATAAATTAAAAAATAACAACCACTACTGGCGCTAGTCATGCAGGTCAACAGGGTGTAAAACCAAAATATCCCCAAGGTGTGTCCTCCATCAACTCACACTCTTCTTCAGTCTTCAGTGCACTACTTCCCACATCACAATCCTTTATCTTCTTTCCATACCAATATCTTCGTCTTCGCACCACATCTTCTCTTTCATCAATTCAGTGAATTGATTGAGCACACGGTAATTAATGCCTGACTTACAGATAAAATTATCCTAACCAGTGTTCACAGAAAGAACATGGAATGATGACAAAACTTACTGTGACACCAGGAAAGTCCCTCAACCACAAATTTATATCAAGGTACAATTAACTACAAT